ATTGTACTTTGAATCCTTTGAGACCATCGATCCTCTGGTTGTATTGATCCATCGATCCTCTATTTGTATTGATTCATCGACCCTCTGTTTATCCTTCGGCTCTCTGGTTATATAGACCAGCGGCCCTCTGGTTGCACAGTGTTTTGGTCAATTTTATCAGATTATTTTTTGATAAAATTCTTAATTAAACGACTCTTTTGTTCTGCTTCGTTTATGATTTGCTTTGTATTTATAATATATATAAATATAAGCTTTGGTATAATCTCACTAAGCCTTGTGGCTTAATCTTTTAGAATGAACTTTCTTCACAGGAAAGCCGATAGCTGCCCAGGTGAAGGATTAGACGGTTTAGATCTGCTGTACGAGTGTCGTTTGAGTTGGATCTAGGTATATAATACTTTTGAGTAGATATATTTGTATTTTATGGATCCGACTTATAGTACTGAAAATCGTCTTTTGCAGACTATGTTATTTTGTCTTTTGGTGGAAATTTATAACATATATCCCGTATTTGCTTGGAGACTGTTTTATGGAAAAAAAATTTATTTGGATAAATAGTTTCTTTTATTCAAAGAGCGTAACTGATGTTACAATTATGGTATCAGAGCGCAGTTTAAGCGAACTGAATATCAGAAATGGTATTTAGACTTAAACCTAAGCATTGAGATCGTATAGTAACTAAGTGATGATGATACGGGATATGGACCAATAGAAAGACCTAAGATGGATGAGGACCTAGGATTAGGAAATATAATTGATATATTTATGTTACGTTTTTAGCTCGATGTCGGATCACGACGAGGCGAGTCACACTCCACTGAACCCCAATGTCGGAGAAAATGTTCCGGGTAACACCAGTAATAATGAGATTGCTCCGATATCCCCTCGTACCGAGAGGCTCATGAAACACATGACGGATCAGCTTCAGATGGCGTTAGAACAACAACGACGCAAATTTGAGAAACGGTTGTCGGAAGAGCGTGAACGTAATAATGCCTCAAAATCTGATGATAGAGGTAAGGGTCCAATTAATGATGATGCGCCACGAACCAAAACTGAACGAGTCTCATTTAAAACCTTCCGAAGCAGTGGAGCGACAGAATATACAGGACAATTAGATCCTGTACTCGCAATGTAATGGATACAGAATACCGAAAAGGTGTTTCGGATCACTCGAGTGCCCAATGAAGATAAGGTGAAGTATGCATCCGCGATGTTCATCGATCGAGCACTGGTGTGGTGGGATAATATGTTCGAATCTCTTGACCCAATTACTCAAGAGAATATGAAGTGGAAAGAGTTTCGAACTTTGTTCTTTGAGCAATACTGCCCAGCTGACCTTCAAAAGCGCCTTGAGAAAGAATTTTTGGACCTAAAGCAGGGAAGTATGACCGTGATTGATTACGAGACTGAGTTTAACCGAAAGGCACGGTTTGCCCAACGGTTTTTGACTTCTGACCAAGACAAGATTGATCATTTCGTCGATGGGCTACGACGAGAAATCCGTGATTTTGTTGCAAACCGTGATATTTCGAGTTTTGGTAAAGCTGTTGAATATGCTCGACGCCGCGAACATGATCTGACGATACCCGATGATACCGTTTCCACACCAAAACGGCAAAGAACTGACAGGACTTTTTCGGCGCCGTCACATAAACCATCACGACTATTTACACCGAAACGGGCGCAGACTCAGAACAATCCACGTGCTTCTTCTCAAGTCTATACGTTACGATCGAGCACACCAAAGGACTGTCAGAGGTGCGGAAAGACACACCAAGGCCGGTGTGATTCGGATAGACCTGTTGTTAAATGTTTTTGTTGCGGTGAAGCGGGTCATGTTAGGACGAACTGTCCCCAGAGAGATCTTGCATGCTTTTCCTGCGGAGTGTTAGGGCACCATAGGAAAGAATGTCCCCGTATAAAAAGGGTTGAAAGCAAAGCCTCGGTACAACAACCAGCGAGAAGGGGTACTTCAACCGAAAAGGAGGATGTGCCCAGGGCACGAGCAAGGGCTTTTCAAATCACAACGGAGGAGGCATTGAAGGAACCGGATGTCGTAGCAGGTATTTTCCCTCTCAATAATAGACCCGCATGCGTTTTATTTGACTCGGGAGCCACGAATTCTTATGTGTCACTGTATTATACTCAGTACCTTAATTCTGGTGCCGGTCATGCTTGAAAAACCTTTTAATGTTGACACTGCGAACGGAGTGACACTCATAGGTGATAAAGTTTATAAAGACTGTAAATTAGAATTAGATGACCATGAGTTCACGGTCRAWTTGATCYCAAYGGATATTCATAACTTTGATGTGGTAATTGGTATGGATTGGTTGACGAAGAACCGAGCAGAAATCATTTGCTCACGGAGAATGATACGAATTCCGAT